TTAATTATGCATTTTGGGTTTGTAAAGGGATGAATATGTATGGGATAATTTATTATTAATGTTAATATATTACATAGGTAACATGAAAAGGTTTGCATGGATCAAGGCAATAAACAAAAAATTTTTATTATATAATGTATTTAAAAAATATTAAACTACAATTTAACTATATTTTTAACTTCCAATCTATATATAAATTTATCCTTTATATATATAAAAAAATCTATTAAACAATTAAATGAAAAAATGGTGTTAATTAAATGAATGTAAGATATAAAAATTGTTAATTAAATAAATGTAAGATATAAAAATTTTCGCTAAATAATAACCATTATAATAATAATAATCCATATTTAACATAACATATGATATATTTAACTATGAATTATTATTTATAATGTTAATATATTGTATAGGTAACATATGATATATTTAATTATGAATGAGAATTTGAAGGAATTGAAGTATGATGAAGTCAGAATAATATCTATAATGTTAGATGTGGATAGTTATTTTGATTTAGTGTCTGCATTTAGTGTATATATAAATTGGATAGGAATTTATATGATACATTAGATGGTGTATAATATTTTTTTTTTTCAAATTATGAAATCTTTATATTTAATATATATATTTTTTTTTAAATTATAAATTTTTATAAGAAGTTTTATTTGCAATTATTATATTATTTGTGTGGTATGCAATGATGTGAAGGGAAAATATTTTTACAGATAAGGTCAGCCCGTGTTGAGGGGTATGCCTTGAGGTGAAAATATTGTTTAGTTTGCATACTGGGGAAAGTTTTTTTTTGTAAATTTATGTTGCATAATACATTTTTTTTTATCTTTTTAATAATTTTATAACACATCACATTTTACTATTTAATTATGAACCTATTTTTAAAGAAAAGACTCAAATTATTTTATATTGTGAAGGTATATTAAAAATTCTTTACATATATACCATATAGCCCATTATATTATCAATTTTTGTTACTTTGCATTCTATTTTTTTTGTGAATTTGTGCTAATTGTGATGACAGAGTTAGGTAGAAATGGTATATTTTTCTTAGGATACTGAGTAATTCCTAGATGGAAAATATTGTATTTTCTACATATTATATATTTGTTCCTTCATATATAATATTAAATGTATTTATATACGTATGTATTGTAATTTTATTTATAATCTTTGTTCGGCCAAGTTTCGCATTATTTTTAATACCTAAAGATGGATTTTTATATTCATTTTAAGAAATATTTATAAAGATGTAGCTTTGTTTTTTTTCACATGATAGAAGGAAAATTACATGTGTTGAAATTGCATTTCACACATAGACAATGTTTTCACATTACATTATTATATGTAAAATCATTATTTCCTAATTACCATGAATCATACCCTAATAATGTATATTATAGCTAGTAGTTCCCAAATGTCTTAAAATGAATAAATTATTATGTTTTGCGGATATTACATTGTCCATATTAATGTTCCGTAGATTATAAATGCAGATACCCCAATGTACATGTCATTATTGATAATGTCTGTTTTGGCGATTTTATATTGAAATGTACTGGAGTTATTATATTATAAATCATTATAAGGGAAGTTGATTCGATAAATTCCCTGAACATCTTCAAGGCGTCCCAATACAATTATAATGGGCGAGTCGATACAATTCAAAGAGGTGATTCGATACAATTCAAAGGGGCGATTCGATACAACACCACCACAAAGAGAGGGACGCTGGGCTTGTGAAGGGTGGGCGTGTTGTAACTGTTGAAAAAAAGAAGAAATAACTTTAATATAATACATCAAATGTCAGTTATTTTCTGACAGGGGAAATAAGTTTTCCTTGGGGGAAGAAGAGGAGGTGATGAACACATGATGGGTTGAAGGGGAAGGATTCTTTTGTTATCCATTTTGGGATGAAGAGTTTGGATTAATTCGAGAAGATGTCAGCGAGGAACTAATAATGGACCTTTGGGAAATGAAGAATTAGATAATTAGATATTTATGATTTGTAATTTTTTTGATAATGTATAGAGATTGTTGTTGGTGTTTTTTAATAAAGAAAGTTGAGTCGTATTCTTATTCTTATTATTATGAAAGGATGGCTTGTAATAAGTACAATAATATTTCGAGTACCATATTATGTAATTTTTACTAATTTTATTGTCAAATTGTTATCTAAAACTTAAAAATTTGAAACTAATACACTTCCGACAACTAAAATTACTTAAAAAGCTGCCACAGGTGTCAACATAAATAAGTGAGTCGGAGTTTAAAATAAACTAAATTAGTAATTAAATGAGACTATACGTATCTTAATTAAGGAATGGTTATTAAAATATGATTAGTGAATAATATGAAATATGACATATGTAAGAGCTGAATTGGCTAGCCATAGTACTTCATGGTAAAAATTATTAAATTGTAATAGATTGTAATCTGACTAAATGGACAAATTAAATAAATTTTCCTATATTTTTAGAAATTAAATTATTATATTTTTAACAATTATAGATCCTCCTAGGTTTTAATTCATATTTTTAAGATTAATAATATTTTATGAAAATTTATAATGAGTCTCTATTTATCTTATAAAATTATGTTAAATAAGATTTGTGGAATATTGCTTTTTCTAATTGATTTAGAGATTGTATTATTATTTAATATAATATCTTTAATTAACATATTTGAAGAACCTCTTTTTTAAAACATATATATCCAACGGTCTTTTTTGGACCAATGGCCATATTGAGGGCCTTAAAATTTTAATTGGAGTAAACTAGTTTTCCGATTCAATAACAATTATAAATCTTTGCATTTATTTTAAATGAGTCAAAAAAATTAAATATTATTAAAATCCCATCTAAAAAAAATGACTAAACTGAGAATTGACATCATAACTCCAAATATAGTGATGATATATATTTTAAATTTTTTTATTTTATGATTATATAAGTTTATACCAAATAAACTATCCAGAGCAAAAAATGCTTCTATAATTCATATTATTTTTAATTAAAATCTAAATTTTTAATGTAATACGCCATCTAGTAAAAATTTATTTGTGATTTAAAAAATTTATTATGGGTTTTATATCTTCTATATAATATATCTGTTTATGCATATTATAAATTAATATACTACATTTTTTTCTATATTCTATTTTATTTATTTAAATAATTTTAATTTTGAATAAATTTGATTTATTTAATAAAAACCTTTTATTTTTTATTGTTATGGGAAACGGTGTCTGGGCAACAGAGGTAGAAATATTATCTATGGCCACATTGTTTCAGACAAATATATTAATCTATACCCAATATAAGTGGGCTTATTATTCGCCCATGAAATTTTTTAATAATATTAAAATATTTAAAGAAAATATTTATTTATGCAATGTAAATAACAATCATTTTGTTAGAATTATATCAATGTGATTATCTATTCTAATATTTTTATTCCATTATATTTATTGCAATTTAGTTGAAAAATGATAATCGGTAAGTATCTTTTTGTTATTATTGTACTCTATATTTTTATAAAAAGTATAGTTTGACATCCTTTTTATATGTTAAATTCTATACAATTGCAAATTTAAATTATATTTATTGCATTTTATATATATTTTTTAATACTTCATCTTTTTCTTAAATGTTATTCAATCGCGAATTTATACAATATATTTATTGCATTTTATATTTTTTATTAATAGTTATTTTTATAAAAAAAACAACAATAGTTAGCCATCTTCTTGATGAGTTAAGTTCTACAATTGCTAATTTATATTATATAGCTTTTCATATTTTTTATTAATAGATATTTTTATAAAAGTACGATATTGAATTATTTGATGAATATGTAATTTATGTTTAAATATAAATAAATTTAATTTACCATATGTATATAGATTTCGATCAAACTTTTTTAAAATTAAGCTATTACGTTTTCGACGTTAAATTATTTGTAGGTATAAAAAAATTTAAAAAGGTATAGAATAAAACTTAGATGTTAATATAATAACTAAATATCAGAAATTAAAATATTATCTATCTCATAAATTACAATATTAGAAAATTTTAATTATTTATCACTCATAAGCGTCAATATGCTAAACATATAAACTTTAAGCACACCTGTCAATCGTAAGTGTTAATAATGCAATATATACACTTTTAACATTGCACGTCAGTCATAAATGTCAGTATTATTAAATAATAGAAACTTTTTAACATTACATGTCAGTCATTAATGTCAGTATTACCAAATAATAGAAACTTTTTAACATTACATGTCAGTCATTAATGTCAGTTTTACTAAATAATAGAAACTTTTTAAGATTACATGTCAGTGTCAGTATTACTAAATAATAGAAACTCGATGTCAGTCATAAATGTCAGTATTACTAACTTTTATAATGATATTTTAATAAACTATTATTATAAAGTCAATCATAAATGTCAGTATTACTAAAGGGAGTTAATTGCGCGTTTTATTTTCCCTATAAAAAGGGACAAATTTTCATACTTAAAAAAGATACTTTATTTTCTGTTTTAAAATAATTATTTTCAAGATTTTTGTAATTTGGATATACACTTTTTTATTTTATTAATAAACGTTAATTTAAAGTTACGAGTAAATTTTTTATATAACAAAAATGTCTCTTACAAGATCCCAGCTAGACGAACTCCCTACCCTTCAAACCTTTACTTCATAAAGTAAATTCACTATCCCGTGAAAATTAAAAAAATTTTTATTCAATTTTCGGTGTAATGTGAAGAAGCATATAGCTTAAAGTAGGAGCACTTGCCCCAATAGACTAATCAACGTGCAATTTATTAAAATAGCTTCTACATCTAACTCCTATGTTTATAAACTTTATTCAGTGAAACATTTGATTCTAGCCATCTTGAATTTTACTTTTAATATTAGAATACTGTCTTTTATAAAATTAAAATTGTAAAGTATCAACGAAACACATTTTAAATCCGTTTCCTGACAAGACTACCCAACGGAATTCCATCTTTAATATTAATCTATTTTTGGCTTTTAGTGGTATCATCTTTCCCCTTCTCCAACTCGTCATTGGATGGAGCCTTTTTCTCCTGGTCATTCGCATCATATTTTTCCAACATGTCTCGGATAGCAGCGTCGACCCGTTCAACTTGTCCGCGGTCAGATGGACCAGTGACGTAAACAAAATTAATGTCGCTTTGTTTTGAAGACATGGATGAACGTTCTTCATCCACCGGTAATCCTTGTGGTGGTCCGAACTGGGAAGATACTGATTTTTTTTCCAAAAACAAAAATTATTAAATAATATCTAATATAATTATAGTGGTAAAATAATATATAATGATAAAAATCAGCACAAATGTAACTTATTCTGCTAGCACCGATATTTATATATAAAAATTAGGGCTGTGCCAATCCACGTATCTTTCACCTCCCATATTGATTCAAACCTAATCCGATCAGATATTTATATTGATTTTTCACCCCTCCCCCTAAAAATCAATAATAGAATTATGCATTTACTTTAATTTTTTTTATTTCTACAATTAAGATTATAATTAAAAAAAATAATTTATAATAGATAAAAAAAATATTATAATAATGTAAAATAAATATATATAACATAAAATATGACAAAAAAGGAAAAGTAAAGTAAAAAGATCAGATCGGTTTTTCCAATATTTTTGGAAAACGCTAAATATCGGTGCCGATACGATATTTAATATAGGCACAGCCCTAATAAAAATACAATATTCCTACAAAACAACCATATTTTAGTTACATCAATTTTATTAAACGGATCACATAACCAAAATAGATCTTTCTTATATTCTCTTCAGATAGTAATTGGTCACTCTCTTTCCTTTTTTTAGAAAAATACCAATTAGATATAAACACTAGGTAAAAAAAACTGTTGTCATTGGTTAAAAAAAATAAGAAAGTAATATAAAAACCGTTTAGTCCGAAAGCAGCTTGACAAGCATATATTGCCGACCCAAGGCGGGAATTGACGACAGTGGCCAGGTCAGGCGATTTGTAGACCACACCAGCTACCATATAATAATCGGAGAGAGGGGTGGTGATAGCTGTGGATTGCCCAGAATTCGTCATCCCTATAATATAATTTTTATCCTTCTAATTTTCCTTTTCCTTAATTAATTTTATTTCTTGGAGTAATATTATTCTTTCTTTCCACGCTACTTCTAATATCAAAAATGGTAAGAAACATTTAATAATGAAACCCGATAAATTAGAAGCGACCTTGTGCCTTCTCTGGGCCCTTATGACGTAGAGTACGGGTTCTTGGGCGTGAATGAGAGCGTATTCCAGTCCGGCCATATTTTTGAGGTGAGTCCGAGCGTCTAGCCCCTGCATTTTGAGGGTTTCGTTATTGCAGGTTCGATCGTAGAAAGGGTTTCCCCTCTGGCAAAAGTAATCCAATGCGTTAGAAGTATTAAGTACGGGTAGCCAAGCACTGTCATGCCAAGAGATGTGTAGAGGGTCATCTGTTGCTAAGCTGCTTATATCGGTCATGGAGATGGTTATAGCTTAGGTTTAAAATTACTATTTTAAATTTTTGGAAGGCAATTAGAGATTTTTCTATCTGCTGAAACTTATCAGCAATATAAGATTTGCAATCTAATTTTTAAATAGTTCAATAATTTAAAAGGGGGTATATCATTAAATTAATTTTCTGGCATCCCCTCCCTTTAAGGTCTGGTGTAATTGCCTTCCAAAAATTAAACCTTTTAGACTATAAAATTGGGTTAAATAAAGCAAATTTTGTGAGAATTATGACTAAGGCCAGAACTCAACAAACAATATCAACCCATAGTGTCATTAATGACATCGGGCACAATTTAATCAACATATAAAATCAGGATCCATTCAATTATTTGATGTTAGTCATGGGAAGGAGGCCTGTCTTAGGGGACATAGAAGAATAAGAAAGGGTCAGCCATATTACATAAATTGTCAATTAATTATAATTTATTATTTATTAGTCTTATTATTATTTAATATATGAATTACTTTGTTCATTGATATTCAAATCATTTGTAGGATATATAAATATTTGTATCTTCCTTTAAATTAATTTCTTGCTCTCTTAATGAAGAAGATTGTTAGAAAAAATATCAGACCAAATAAGGTATTGTTATTTTATAAATAAATGAATTTTAACAAAATCATTGAATTGTATTAATATTTTTCATTTTACTTAAATATTGATGAATTAAACATTTTTTGAAATTTAAATTTTTGGCATCAAGCATCAATATATAAAATAATTTAATATGTTATTCATAAAAATATATAGTCATTTGATTTTTTGGGGTGCCTAGTCCTGATTACCACCCTTAATTAATAAAAAATTTGTGATCCAAAGGTAGATATCAAAAATGTTTCATCAATTATTCTGTCGTTAATTAATAATATGGTATATGATATAAGAGAAATAAAAAAAAAAGACAAGTAAATACTTCGATTTCTGAATAAAAAATCGCAATTCTAGGAATTAGATTTGTGTCAGTTGTCGGAACTGATTGATTGTGTGACAATTTCCATTCCTGTTATAATCTTCCCATAAATCCAGTTCGTATTCTGAAGAAGGATGACCGTGCTGATTAATTGTAAATTTTTGAGTGATAATTAAAAATTCCAATTTTGATAAGATTGATTCTATATTCGTTTAGAGTGTATCAGAGTTCCATGCTTGCTTTTATAATTAGCTAATGGCCAAATGTTAGTATAATTTTTTAGACGTCTACCGGAAAAAATCCATAAAAATTAGGACGTTTTAATTTATCAGTTTTTTTCAAATTTGAGCTGCTATCCTTTTTTTAAAAAAACCGAGGCCAAAGTAATATTTTTAGCTAATAACTTAGTTTAGTGGACTTTTCAGCTAGCTAAAAATTGGCTTAAATGGCGAAAATAGTAATTACGCAACTATACTTGCGCGTATCAAAGATTTGTCAATAGCAAGGGAGTTTATATTTATGTCATTTCTAGCTTAAGTGTGTGGTTGAGAATAAACTATCCTATTTTTGGCTGGACAATAAACTAAGAAGCTTTTGGATATTAAGGTTTTAGTAGTTTAATTTGTTTACTTTCTTTTTTTTAAAGCTGCGGGTATAGGGTCTTCAGGGACTTAGAGCTGAGATAGTATGCTGGCCATAGTGCTGTTGCATTTTTCACTAGTCTTCTGTTTAGCTTGAAGCAAAAATAAATGACGACTCATGAATGTCAAATATAATTAATGGCCAAATCAAATCAAAACGCAAAAGCTTAATTCTATGGTAATTCAAGGCAGTATATGGGCCTAATAATTGAGAGCCAAAATATTTAAGCCATTAATATATGTCTAAAAGAGCTAAATTTAAACAGTAAGTTATGTAAAATTAATCATAAACCAAATCCATATTATCCTCAAAAAAATAAAAATCGTAAGTCATATCATTCTTAATTTAAATCAGAGCTTAGTTTATAATGCTCTATTAGATTTACTTAATCAAAAGGATTTGCACCAATGACTTTACACAATGACCTAGATTTTGAAAATGGAACAGAATATTTGTATATATATATATAAAAGGGAACCATTACTAACCATAGTAGTTAGAATTGGTTTAGACTAATGGGGATTAAATTTCGATACTTAAAGATGCATACTTTTTCAAAAAATCTTAACTCTTTTATAACAATTTATATTCTGATTAAATTTATTGTTTATATATGGTAAATTATATGTAACTAAACTGAGAATAAAAAATATTACTACCCTGATCTTGTACACCTATATATCCATCCTCTCTCACTATACTTTTAAAATCTCTTATTGGATCTTCACCAAATGTATCTGTATCCAAAAAAATATATTAAATAATTTTATATATTATACCCTTTCTCTTGACACATTTATTTTAGTATCCTCCTTTCTAATTTCCAACCCTAGAATTTTAGATTTATCAAAAATAAAATTTTTCCAATTTTTAAAAAAATAATCTTTCTCCTTAAACTTTTATTCCACAGGACATTTCTTCAAATAGTGCTTCTTCTAATGGAAATATAATAATTAAAAATATATTTTCCTTTTTTCCAAATGCATTTTTTACATTCTCCTTCTCCAACTATAGTTTTAAGAAGCCTACAAACTTAATTATTTGTTCAATATTATTTTATGAATAAACTGATTATATTACCTTGATCTTTAACACCCTCTATAGTTTCACAATGTGCAATTTTTTTGACTGTATCTTTGCCATTAAAAAAAGTTATATTCATATATTTAAAAAATAATACCTTTGTTCCCCTCTATATAGTGCTTTAAATTACGTATATTAGCCTTAATATGTAAAATTTTTCCTGTTAAAGAGGAGAATTCTACATTGCCTAAATATGTATAAATATTTTGTTAAAAAATAATAAATTTATACTATTAACAATTTTAACAATTGTATAAGGACCTACCCAAGGCTGCAACATTTTCCCTCCTTTCCTGTCAGCCCGACGATTATTCCACACAAGCACTTTATCATTTATGTGATAAAGTGCATTCTTAGCAGCATTACGAGTTTTATAATCTCGTTGCTGCTTAATCTGAGCCTTTATAATATTTTTTGCTGCAGTCTTGAATATGCCTTTCATATTGTCTACCCTTCTTTGGAAATTGCATAGTCTGTATCAAATAGATCATCAAAATCTTTTTCTGGTTCTCTATCATACTTAAATAATAAAACCAAATATTATTATGTATAATAATTTTATACAAATAATGATATATATATCATACCTCACAGGGCAGTAAAGCTTTCCTGCCATACATCATCTCATATGGCGTAAATTTGAGGATTCTTGGTGTATTGTAGCCAAATACAATATCAGGAGAACTCCAGGCCAATCTATTGCCTTTTGAACACTTCAAAAGTGAATTTTGAATTTATCAGTAATATTCATAAAAATTTAGAAACAAGTGTATATATACCTTTCAACTAGTTTATCATATGTCTTGTTGATTCCAACCTGATAATGACATTTCTGTGAGATTTGTCTCACATCCTCCATGTAATGAGACTAAAAGTTTTTGTTGTTGGCTAAAGAGTTTTTTGAATTAGGATGTATGTTTTCACAAATTAGATTATTAAAATTCAATTCAAAATTTAAATTCGAAAATCAAATTTAATATCAAAATTTAAATTTACAAGATAATCAGTAATATTAAAAAAAACTGCATGATCATATAACTCTCCCTATCAATTCATTGTAATTAAATTAAGATCTTTGTTATTAATCAACACCCTTAACACTATTCATCAAAGGGGGAGTTAATCTATCATATTGATTTCTTAACTCAGAGGTATGTGATAAGTGGAGTTACTTAATCACGCTTCCCCGTAACTCTAATTATACCTCTGGATCAGAGTTGTTAAAGTAGCGCACTACTTGTAACTAGCTAAAATTTTTTAGCGCGCTACTTTTTTTGATAGTAGCTAAGTAACCGCTACTTTGCTACTTTTAAAAAATATAATGTAGGTAAGTATAAACATGAGAATTTAAATATAATATAATTAATTATAATTTTTATGATTTATTATTTAATTTTGAAATTGAAACATAATTTCAATTTATTTCAATTTGTAATTTATATTTTCATTTGTATTATAAACCTAAATTACGTGTTAATAATTTAAAATGTCATCGCCTATGGATATCCAAATGAGTCAGACAATGATATAATGAAATGGAAGATACCAGGGAAAATGTTCTTAATGATTTGAAATTTTTTTAAAATATTTCAAATTTATTTGTTTAAAATGTAAAAAAAAAAATTTCCTCAAATCAATCTAGTAACCTCAAGAAACACCTAAAGGTAAATTGTCATTTTTACATTCTAATTTATTTTATAAGACTGTTCATGAGTTTTAAGAAAATGGAGAAACATCTAAATAATTTTGGTATAGGCGACTCTACATCCAAAAAGATTAATTCATTTCAAACCAAATTAATTAATAATGCAAATGACAATATTTCTCAGAAATTCTGATAAATTTATAGTTGATTTTATAATTTATACAGTTCAGCCAATGTCCTTAGTTGATAATCCATCATTTACCATGATGAAAACTCTATCCCTGGTACGATTTATGCCGCTAGACATTAATGAATAAAATAGTAGATAACTTTAACATGATGAAAGATGCTCTAATAGTAGAGTTATCAGATATATCATATATATGCACCACGGGAAATAGTTAAACACATAACAGAAGGTAAAAACTTATTTATATTTAAAATAAATGTGATTAAATATTTTTGAGCATATTTGGGAATCACAGGCCATTGGCTAGATCCTATTACTTTAAAAAGAAGATCTGCGGCATTAGCCCTCAAAATGATAAATGCCAGACATACGATGTACTTGCAAATAAAATTATTGATAATCTATCTTATATTAAAAATATGTATATAAGATTACGCCCTTACCCTCAAGTGCTAGTGTCGAGAGATTATTTAATAAGGCAAAACTTATACTTTCTGATCGTCACTCTAGACTTGGGATGAATAATATTGAAATCCATTTATTTATTAAAATGAAACACATTACCATAAATATTAATTTTTATTACATAAATTTTTTTATAATCAAAACTAACTATATTTAAATATTTATAAATGTTGATTTTTATTTATTTACTATACAATAACATTATAAGCAAAAAATAAAAAATTTGGTAATATAAAATGTAGCTTAAAAAGTAGCTAATAGAGAGCCAATTTTTTTGACAAATAGCGATAGCGGTACCGCGCTACTTTTTTTATCAAATAGCGCGCTACTTTTAAATGTAGCGTTTAACAACTCTGCTCTGGATGCAGAGCAATCTCCCGAACTTAAATATCTAACCTATATTTGCCAAACACCCTACCAAGTACTCCAAAAGTAAAAAAAAAACCCTAAAAAGGAAAACACAAAAATTATATGTTAACTTTAAATGTACTTAGTTCAAAACAGAAGAAAAATCTTTATTTAATTTTTATATATTGAAGACATAACTGTAGAAGGATAAAAAAAGGAAACTATTTTTAATTGAAGTTTATAACACTTTATTTTGGCTTATCTTTAAAATTTAGTTGCAAAATCTTGAATGAGATATAGCGGAGTGAGCCTATCTTTGCCTACTAA